TAGTAGTATTAGTAGTAGCGTAGTAGTAGCGTAGTATGTGGTAGTACTAGTAGTAGTAGTAGTAGTAGTAGTAGTAGTAGTAGTAGTAGTATTAGTAGCAGTAGTAGTAGTAGTAGTAGTAGTAGTAGTAGTAGTAGTAGTAGTAGTAGTAATAGTAGTAGTAGTAGTAGTAGTAGTAGTAGTAGTAGTAGTAGTAGTAGTAGTAGTAGTAGTAGTAGCATGGGAAGGGCCAGTCCTAGATCTCCGCCAGGCAGACGCAGGGCCAGCAGCGTCGTGGTGCAGCGCCCCTGGCGTAGAGCTCCTGCTGCGGCCGCGGGACGCCGCCGCTGGAGGACCACACCGCTGCCATGGACCCGTTGCACCCGGTGCCCGCAGGTGGCGGCTGCCTGCGGACCCGCGCGCTGGAACTTCGCCGCGGAGGCAGAGCGCCGCGACGCTCGGGCGAAGCGCCTCAACTTGTCGCGCTGAGAGCCGCCCTGCACCACCCGCTTCCGTGCCGTCTCCCTCGACTGCCTCATGCCGCTGCCGAGGTCGACGCCCAAGCAGGCGGTCTGCAGGGCGGCCTTGACGTAGCCCGACTTCCTGCGGAGCGCCTTCGCGATGAAATGAGCGTCCTCTGGGTGTGAACAGGTGACCACACTCTTCGGGGAGAGACTCAACTGCTGCTGCTTCAGATACTCCGCCGTCGCTGCGATGCCTTTGACCAAGGGCGTCCTCACACGCCGACGCGACCCCGAAACACTCTGAGACAAATTGTCAATACAGAGACACCCCGAGAGCGTGGGGCACGCAATACACAATTTCTGAACCACCCAGTATGTCATGCATCTCGCGAAACGCGCGCCGTTGCGGAGGCCCTGGACCACCGACCTCGTCGGCTGAAACAACTCAGAAAACGATTCCACTTGCGCGAGTGTCCTCGGGCACATGCAGAGCTGCAACTCGAGAAACAACACGACTGGGGGAAATCCTAATTTGACCGCCCCCTGGGCAAGGGGCTCGACATCGGCCAGAGAGCGCCCGTGTGGAATAGCCATCCTGCTCGCCACCTCACCGTCGACGGCGCGCACGAAGGCCTCGCGCAGTGCATTGTTGTTGGCCACCGCCGCGTCCCACGCAGGCTCCTGCTCGATGGCCCACTGCCTCACCAACTGTTCACGACACATCGACCAAACCCGACAAAACATCGCCAAAAGGCCAATGATTCTGTCGCCGTCGTTCTTTTTCCCAAGAAGGCGGCCAATCACTGTCATGACTTGCCACGGCAACGACAATCGTTCCTCGATCATATCGCATAGCTGGCATAGCTCATCAAGCGCAACGTCGGGGAGTCTCTCCACGTCAATTGGGGACAGCTGGTCTATCCCCCATCCTGCGTCCTGCCTTGCTCTTCATCCTGGAAAGCGCGACACGCACATCACCCACGGTAACGGAAACCAGGGGCTCAAACACAGCATGTTCCCGAACAAAAATACATCTATCCTCAACCGTATTGAAAGACAAATATTCCGAACGCCAGATCTTGTGAAATCTATGCATTTTCGCATCATTGATGTCCAACGGGTGAACGAAACACTGCTGACCAAGATGCAGTTAGTCAGCGACAGGCTGGGGGGCCTTCAGACTCTCGTGGGCAACTCCAACAGCTGGTGTTGATGCAACCTATTCTTGAAATTCCTTCAACGAAGCCGAGGCCGCACGAGATTCTGCCACTCGAGTCCCGCGAAAAGCCCAGGCCTCCAGGATCTTCGGCCGATCCACACACGCTCCAAGGCTAACATATCGCGCTGTAGCTGCTTCCACGAACCACAGCTGCACAGTTTGACATAGTTTGATAGTACACACCGTCGGGAGCACTGCTACAAATCCGTGCCGCTGCCGTACAGAGATGCTGTGTCTGAACTGCCCCGTTCTTTCGCATTCGGTGCCGAAGAAGCTTCGGAATTACTGAATGAGCATTAGACCACCAATTTGCCACCGCGTCGTGTAGCGGCTGCTCTCGCACAGGTGCGGCCCCATGAACAGATGCCACGACCAGCCGAGAACCTCGCGCCCGTGACTGCCGAGGAGGGTCCTGCTCATGATGCGTAGCGATCGCACGCTCCACGGACTCAATCCATGCTCCGTGTTTATTGCTGATTGGCTGGATGTGCTGCTGACCAATCTGAAAAAGCCAGAGACTGACGCACAGCGGGCAAGACAGGAGGAGGAGGAGGAGGAGGAGGATTGGGAGGAGGAGGAGGAGGAGGAGGAGGAGGAGGAGGAGGAGGAGGAGGAGAAGGAGGAGGAGGGGGAGGAGGAGGAGGGGGAGGAGGAGGAATAGGAGTAGGAGGAGGAGAGGAGAGAGGAAGAGGAGGTGGGATTAGGGAGGAGGAGGGAGGAGGAGGAGGAGAGGAGGGGGGGAGGGGAGTGGAGGGTGAGCTTGGGGTGAGCTTGAGGGTGAGCTTGAGAGGAGGGAGCGAGGGAGGAGGAGAGGAGGAGGAGGAGGAAGGAGGGCATA